TAATTCCAGTCACATGTATGGGGAAGACAATCCTCAGAGGCCCCCAGCCTTCCAAGGATTGATACACAAGCAGAACTGCTGATCGAGCAATCCTTCTTAAACCGTCTCTATCTTGGAACACTAGTTATTCTAGAGGAAAAACAAAACAAATTTAAACAGGGGAGTATCCTAAAGGAATACGACTGAAGGTCCTCTGAGGCCACAACGAGGACCTTTTGGGCGAAATAAAACGTAAATCCCATCATGTGATGTCCATGCTTACTGCCTCCAACAGCTTCCCACCTACAGCCCTCCACCGCACTCCAGTCACACCAGCTTGTCCTTCTTGAACATTCCACATTCTCCTCAGCACTTGCTGTCTTACTGTCCCAGCCATGCGGAACCCTCAGCCTTCCAACTTCGCGTGGTGGCTCATCTTTGACAATCAGGTCTCAGCTCAACGTCCCTCCTCAGACAGACCTTCTGGCTTCTGCGACCATCTAAATCACACTGGCCACCTCGACCTGCAGTCCCTCTCCATCACATAGCTAAGCTATGAGTTTTCAACGCACTTGTCATTATTTTTTTTTTATTTTTATTTTTTTTGGTGAGGAAGATTTGCCCTGAGTCAACATCTGTTGCCGATCTTCATCTTCTTCACATCTTTTTTTTTTTTTTGCCTTGAGGAAGACTGTCACTGAGCTAACATCTGTGCCAGTCTTCTTCTAATTTGTATGTGAAATGCCACCACAGCATGGCTTGACCAGCAGTGTGTGCCTCCACACCTGGGATCCAAACCCACAAATCCCAGGCTGCCAAAGCAGAGCACGTGAACTTAACCACTATGCCACCACGCCAGCCCTGCCCTCGTCTTTATTTAGTGGCTGACTGTCTGCCTCTTCCCCTGGAACGAGGGTCCATGTCTATCTCACTCCCAGGTGCATCAGCGCCTACAGCACCCCAGGCATGGGGCAGATGCTCGCTCATCACCTGCTGAAGGGATGAAGGAAACGCACCTCTGCCATGAGACGCCTCGCCAGCAGGGCATCACCTGTTCAGTCTCTGAAAGCACAGACAAAAAGCTGTCCTCTCAGGAGCTCGCATCTGGTGATCTTCAGGAGCTGGCATTCCCGGCCTCACGGGGTCACCAACCATTTCGATTCTGGGCCACCGCTTGGATTAGCTTATTTTAACGTCTTTATGCTCATTCCTTCACTGAGCCCACGTACTTACATACACCTTTTGCCTTTTCCTGCCTCCAATGATTTAAAATTGTTACAAATGGTGTGGCAATAACCACCCTGCAGTGGAAATGAGATCCCCCTTTGCTCAGAAGATGTTTTGGTCCCTCCACTACTGATTTAAAAATTCTCTTGACTCTAAATTTACGCCAACATGGATCAGACTTTTTAATGAATCCAGCCATTAAAATTCATTTGCACCAGAGACGCATCCCAGCCAACACGTCGTACTGTGACACAATTCCTTTGTCTCCAGGTCACACCAGTATCGCGCACTCACATTGGGCTCAGAAGGCTCGGGACTCTGCGTGGGGGAGATACCTCACGATTACAGGGTGCACAATCTCCGTCCCACTGCATCTACTTTCCCTTCAGAGACCTCCATTTTCTCCCAGTCCTGAAGCCTCCTCTTGACCTCATCTCCTTTCTTAGCCAGACTGGATCCTGACACTTAACCGCCCAACTTATTCACCAGTACTCAAGGAGCTCTGCATGCACTGTTCTCACTCTGTGCTTCCACCAGAAAAACTGAACCCTGGTAACACGACAATCTGCAGTCTCCCCTCACACTCTGCAGTGCTGGGGCTCCAGGTTAAAAACAAAGACCATCAGGAAGAAGGACACAAGGACTACCACGTAGCACACGATTTCTCCTAGATTCTTTAACATGACCTTGGTGAGCTTCCTAATCCATTCCTCGCAGCAATGAGCCTAAACTTTTGTCATTTTTCTCCAGCTCCAACCCACCCTCCCTGTCCACCCCAAGCCCTACAACAGATAACGCTGTCTCCAAGAAGAAGGAATCTTCAGAGACGCATGTCCTCAACTCCACCCCTTCGCCTGCCAACCAATCCCTACCTGACACCCCCGACACCATCACACGAGTTGGAATGAACCGTCTCTCCTGGGTCAAGACTAAATTCTGCCATGTGCGCTTGCTCTCCCTCCCTTCCTTCCTCACCCAGACCTTGCTCCTTAAACTGTCTCCTTCTCTTCTGTATCTTCACCCTCTCACTCTTACCAGACCGTCTCTCAGCCTATCGACTTGCTCTGTTATCCCTACAGCCTCCCTTGACGCCCATCTTCCTCTAGATACCACCTGAGCTCCCTTTCCTTCTCACACGTGCCCAGTGGGTACTTGGTGTCTCCACGGCGTCTCCTTTCATTCGCTCCCAGCCATGGTAACCGGGATTCTACCCGCAGCACTTCCCTGAAACTGCTGCCTTCAGACCACCAGTGATTAGCTGATTGGCAAATCCAAAGGGCAATGTTGCTCCTTATCTCACTAGATCATTCTACTGCAGAGGCTACATATCACGTCTTTCTGTTTTGAAACTCTCTATGGAATCATTCTCCTGATTCTCCTCCCACTTCTCTGATCACTCATTCTGTCCCTTCACGGGCTCCTCTTCCTCCTCAACTCTCAACTATCTTCCCAGCTTATGTTGTCCTTACTCTACCCACACTCCCTGGGCAATCTCATTCACAACCATGTTTGTCATTAATGTTTATATGGAAAAGACTCTCAACTCTACTACCTCCCGCCGCACCTCTTCCCGGGGCTTCAGACAGTTACATCCACCGACCTCCCAGACACGGCCTCATGTATGTCCCAAAGCCCCTCATGTCAGTTACGTCTACTCTGATTTCACATTCTCTTCTCTTCTCCATTTAACCTGTTTGTTCCCTGTGCTGCCCATTTCTGCTGGATACCACCTCCCACCAGCTATCCAATCAAGGCAGCTGTTAACTTTAACTCTTCTTTCTGCCTTGTCAGCCACATCAAGGAAATCCTAATGATTTTTGTCACCTGAACAGTCTTGAAAGCATTCCCTCTCCTGCCTCTTAGCACTTCCTGAGAACGGAACCTCTTTTGTTCCCCTTACATCATTTTTCACAGTCTGGGGGATAATGGCCATGCACTTGAGCATGACACACAAGATCTTCCCCGGGTTGAGCTGTCCCTGGGCCCACCTCTCCTGACTCATCTCTCTCTGCACCAACCTTGTAATTTACCATGAAGTTCAACAAGAGACTCACGCTCCCTTCACACGCGGCACTGCGACACAGCCCAGCCTCCTCAGCAGACACTATCTCCTCTGTCTAGAAAGCAGTTCTCCTTTTCTCTCTCTCCCCCATCCATCCCAACACTTCCTTTCCTTACTAACACTTGTCCTGCAAGATTTAGCTCAAGCATCAGCTTTTCCAAGACGGCTTTTCACACTCCTCCAGCTGGAAGAGCTGCCGCCCTTTGGTGCTACCATAGCATTCCATGCTGATCTCTAGCACAGCAAATTTCACACTCTTCTAAAATTATACATCCATCTATCAACCTCTCCCAACTAGACGATAAGCTCCTCAAGGCAAGGGCTGCTCAGAGTAGGTGCTCAACTTGACTCCTCTGCATGTTAAATGGTAGGATGAATAATCTTCTGATGGGTTCCCAGACGTCTAAGTACCCTGGACACCCCACATGACCCCTTCTCAGTCATATGATTGGAAGGCTCTGCTGTGGCTGAGTTGTTTAACCACTCAAAGCACACAGCAATACTGGTTGCTGTCACTACATGACAGCCTGGAATGACAGTCTCCATGGCAGTAAGAGTTAAAGGAATAGAGGACCTAAACAAACTAAAATTTGCCATACTTGCTATTCTACAGAGTCTAAGATTTGGCAAGATGAATCTCTCAGGCAGGCACAATGCTAACACAGCATGGTGAAAAGAAGCTCAGGTGACGCCCAGCAGACTCAGAGAGAAAGCCCTGCAACACCTTCAACACAGGACCCTCCGGCCTCTGCTGACTCATTCTGACTCAGAGCTGCAACAACACCTGAGGAAGGTGCACCCAGGCTGACTCTGCATTTTTTTCTGCAGAGCTCAGAGAATTTGGCACACAAGAAATTTAAGAGTTGTTCATTACAGTCCCTTGCAATTTCTCAGATATTGACTGAGGTCACCTACAGCATAGCGTCTGACAGCATTACGTGGTATTTTTCTGGCAAAGATGCAGTCCTGGTCAAAATACTGATGAGAGTTTAAAATACTGACTGGAGCTTCCTAAACTAAAGAAAACCATACAGGAAATCTCTTTCACCAAAGAAAGGCTCACCGTTAGTTCAATTAGAGGCTGACGAGCCGGGCTGAAGTCAACAGCTCTTGTTGGTGCCTTGTACAAGGACATCTGTACAACTGGGTCCAACTTGGGGAACAGCATTTAAATATCAACATACACACATGCTCGGAGGAAAATCAGGTAAATTCTCATCCGGACGAAAATTTCTAAGAAACTGTATTAGAGTAAATTACGAAGCAAAGAACCTTCTCAAAATAGGTATTTGCAAGTCATCATTTTCTTTGTTCTTTATACAGAAGTCATGTGAATTGCATAATGAAAGATAAAATGGAAGAAATTTCTAGACTGAAGTCTAATTATACTTGAGTCAGTAATTTATCATGCTTCCTATATACAGTAATGATTAGAGTTAACATTTAATTAACTAGCAGCACTTCAAATATTTATCCCATTTAAAATCATAATATCTAAGTACTGTATCTGAGATATTTAACAAGTTAAATGTTAAATGCCATTTCTTTTTAGCAAAAGAAAAAGACAGAATTAACTTCAGACTTTTACATTTTTCTTTAAGTGTTATATGACATATAATCAGCTGGAAGATATCAGTTGCTCCAACAACAGACATTATTTTGACCAAACCATTATCATGAAGTGAAGTTATGTTGCACTTGCTTCTTAACAGGATTGTGACTAAATACTTACTTATTTAGTGTGAGGTCGAGAATGAATTTGGAGCCAAACGCTTCAATCTGGAAGCTCGCCTGGGCCAGATGGACAGCCTATGGATTCAAAAAAACAGAAAGAAACTTAACTTAGTTTCCTGTCTTCAAAGCTGATTATATTGATATCAAGAATAATATTTAATAAGAAGAACTTGGTTATGGACTGATTCATTTCTTTATGGATCCTTATGTAACAATTCACCCCCTTAAGAGGAGCGTAGGCGCACTGTCATGGCTTGACTTGGAAGACCTAAATTATCTGTGCGGAAAGGAACTATCAAAAGACAACTAGTCCTTGAAAATGAACACATCGCGGTAACAGTCAAGAGCATATTCAGCTGGACTTTCAAAGTGACCATGATGAATTATGTAAAAGTCTGACTAATTAAAGCTTGATTTCAGCCTATTTTGTGCACAAAGTTAACCAATTATTTCTGCACACCTAAGTGAAAAATCATGTCAGCGCTCTGCTCTTCATCAGGAATTGGAACTTTCTCTAAATGATGTATCAGCAGAATGTGGCCAGAAAATGGAATAGTGCAACCTTTTAACTTCAGAAAGCCCTTGGAGCCAGGCTCTTTGTGAATACTGAGAGTTTATGTCCGCCTTTAAACGTGACACATTTACAGATGCTGTCATTATTATGCCTAATTCTAAATACAATCTCATCTAAACATGAGTCATATGTTCCAGGTATTAAGATTAGTATAGCTCACGGAAACATCTTGAATAATGTAAATTAACAAATCGACGAAGTTTTGTCAAGGTATTATCCAAGATAAAACTCATCTGTCATCCTATCAGGAAAAAAAAAAGCACAAGGATAAAGGTAGCACCCACACCGCTCCCCATCGCTCACAAACAGCCTTCCTCCAGCTTCACTCCCAAGGCGCAGTGGGGGTCATAGGTCATCTGTGAAGTGCTCCATGCGAGGCAATGGGACACCGTCAGGACTTCCCGCTCACCCACCCCCATGCACCCCAAGCTCCTCTTGGCCCTCCTCCTCCATTTCCTGTTTATTGAAACCCTACCCATCCTTCAAGGGCAGCACTTCGCACCCATGCCGGAAAGAACTCTTGCTCCTCAGGGCTCAGGAGCACTTTACTGTCCCTCTCTCACTTCCCATCCCACCCTGGACAGGCAGCCCCACAACTCACACCACAAGGTCCTGTTAACAGTTGTACTCTAACAACCCTGGCCCAAAATATATGAACTTTCCACTAATTAACCAAATATGTATTTGCAAGACAATTTTGCCATGCCAAACCCATAAGATACTGTAAATAAACCATGACTTCTACTTCTTGTCAAGCATAACTGCTGATCAGATAGTCACTCTATAATAATCAATCAATAAAAAGGAAAGTAACACATATTAAATTTTAAATACAAAGCAATGAGTGAGAAGGCGCCTGAACGCCTAACACCATGGGACGCCACACCAACCCCACCACCCAGGTGGAGGAGAGTCACCTTACTGGATCTGGGCTCCCTGCATGCAGACAACCTCGAAAGGGAGAGAAACTTGCGTCTTGTCAAGTGTAGCCTCTGTCATCTGCGACAGAACCTGTATCTATCCAGAACAAACATCATATAGTCTTTAATCTAAATTCATTCTGTGTCTTGAAGCCTAAATGTTTGCATGACGATTTTTATATTGATGAATAATTTGTAGAAGGGGCAATTTTTCATCTCTGGGTCCCAAAAGATGGAAAAAGAAAAAAAAACTTACTTCCTGAAAATAAGATGGGTCCTTAGGCATATTTTCTCTTAAGAGCATTAAATAGTAGAGAAAAGTTCACTAATGGCACCTTGGCCTCAAAAAGCTGATAAATGTACCTTCTTGAGTATCGTTATAAACACTAAGAACCTGATAGTGACACAGTAAAAGGCTCATATTACAGCAAATAAGCAACGAGGCAAGTACAAATCTCAACAAAACTCTGTTGCAAAATAAAGTTGCCTGGTAATAACTGCTTACCCATGTTATAGAATTGTCGGGAGCTACACAATTTGGTCATTGTTAAATAAGTTTATACTGAGTCAATGCGACAAACGTCAGTTTAACAGAATTTAATTAGAAAGCTAGCAAATAATACTGATGTTGGGATTTTCCTTTGTTTTTTTATTCACTCAATCCACACACACTCTGTGTATAAAGGTGGCTGGGACGCAGTCCCTGCCGTCAAGGAAGCAGTAGGCTCCTTGGTAGAGCTGCCAGCCTCACGTGTCTAAGGGGCCACAGGGACCAAGGGACACCGACAAGGTGCGGTTTGAACAAAATTTCAAAAGACGAATAAGAATCCCCCTGCCAGGAGAAGAAAAGACATTCAGGGAAGGGGGAAAACATTTACAAAAACAGAGTGAAAAATGAATATATGGGGCTGGCCCCACGGCCGAGTGGTTAAGTTCTCGCGCTCTGCTTCAGTGGCCCAGGGTTCTCGGGTTCTCGGTTCACGAGGAGCCGGCCTTGATGGCACCACTCATCAGGCCACGCTGAGGAGGTGTCCCACATAGCAGAACTAGAAGGACCTACAGCTGGAATATACAACTGTGTACTGGGGAGAAGAAGAAGACGAAAAAAATAACGAATATTAAAAAAGTTTTTAATTTTTTTTAAATGAATACGGTCTGTAGGAAAATGGCTTTTGGAGGAAATGTCAAACAATGAAACTGAAAAGGTGGGCTGGAGCCCCCGGGGCTTGTGTGATGGGCTCGCTGACGGTCTGATCAGCAGATACACACAAGCCTTCCTCCAAATGTCCACCACCCCACTCACTCAGCACAGGGTCGGCCATTACCCTCACTCCTGTCACCATCCAGAACAGCAACGTCACGACTCAAACATAGTGACAAATTACGCTCCACGAGTGAAACAATGACAGCACCATGGACAACATTCTTGATTCCCCAGAGGAAAAAAATCTTATTTTATTACCTTTATCAGTAAGAATGCTTAAACATTTTAATGCTAAGAGGCAGCACATTTTCCTCTAAAACAATTGTAAGATTTCCTCAAGCATTCATCTTCCTGGCACAAACATCAAATGGAATTAGTATATTCATCTAATATATGTGTATCCATTTTAAGTAATGGTGTACTTTACTTTTCTTGCACTCTGTTTCTTTTGCCGTTGCTATACATTCTGTGTTTGTATACAGAGTACAGATTCTTCCTTATACCAAGATAAATATTTGATGAATGCTTCTTTTCCCTATCACTCTGTTATTCCTGCTCTGTGTTAGACAAGATTAAAATAGCTTTTAACTTCTGGAATCTCTCTGTTATTCCATATCAATTGATAATTTTTTCTTTAACAAAATATTATACAGTCTTTTTTTTTTTCTTAAAGATTGGGCTAACAACTGTTGCCAATCTTCCTTTTTTTTTTTTTCCAAAGATTGGCACCTGGGCTAACAACTATTGCCAATCTGTTTTTTTTTTCTGCTTTTATCTCCCCAACGCCCGCCCTGTAGACAGCTGTATATCTTAGTTGCACGTCCTTCTAGTTGTGGGATGTGGGACGCCACCTCAACGTGGCCTGACGAGCAGTGCCAAGTCCTTGCCCAGGATCCGAACCCTGGGCCGCCAGAGCGGAGCGCGCGAACTTAACCATTCGGCCATGGAGCCGGCCCCCAGTCTTTTTAATTATCAATCTTAAATATGTTTTCAAATCAGGTGAAATGAGTCCTCATCCTTATTGTTTTACAAGTTACATTTCTGGATATTATTTGTTTTTCTTCTTATTAACCCACTTCTTCCAAATGATAGAAACATTAGAAGAATGGCTGAGCTGAGCAGAAAGTTCCATAACATACAGCCACATCACTTACGGTTTATTAAATATCTTAGAGCTGACTAAACTCTACATGCAATTCTCACTGGTCTACCTCCAGTATTGCTCTTCTTTTACAAAGAAGGAACTACACCACGAGGTTTAGAAATGTGTTCAATGACAGAATTCTTCCGAGAGGAGTTCATGAACCACCATCCGGTCTTAACGGTTATTTTCTCCTTCGGGATATCTGTTGAATAGACCTGGTGATTAACACTTGTTTTCACAAGGACAGTCACCTGGACAGCTCTGTGGAAGAAGGCAGGGTTTTACAGAGAGCCTCACTCCATGGCAAGAGTAGGTACAGCCCTGGGCTCAGAATTACTGCACCCAAGGACTGGGAACAGCTGTTGCCTGAGCACTTTGATGGTTTTCTTTTGACTCAGAATCTGGCACAGGGAAATTATAGGAGCTCTGTAAACAAAAACAACCAAACTCAATTATATACACAAACCTCCTTCACTGAAGAACAGTTTACACATCTCACAATGTGCTTTTGTTCTCCTGTTTTTCCTCTCGGTAGATGGCACCTCACGGGATCGATTTGATAACTTCTGAAGACTGGGAGTTCCTCAGCTGCGACTAGCTTTGCGTCTCGTCATCGAGCAATGTTATGACATTAAGCGGTCATCTATGCTCAGCCTGTGTCAGGTTCCTTCCATAAGCTGAAGAGACACAGCTACGTTTTCTCGGGACTTATATTCTAGAATAATTAACATTAATATGGACATGAAAACAAGAGAAAAAGATGACTATCTACTTACAGAAATAAAAAGCAGGCATTTCCAGGGTAGATACGTTTTCACGCAAAAATGCTTCACACATCACGAGTGTTCAATCAGAATTCTTTACCACTTGGCAAGGATTTGTGAGTTCTAGAGAGTATGCACATAACTGGAACTGAATATGGAAAATGGAAAGTTTACACTTTCCCAGGATTCAGAAAATATTATGAGACTGCCTTTCATCATCAGTGGAAAGTGAGCACCATGAATTGAGGTGTCTAAACTGCCAATCACCACCCGCTCTGAGTGCGTGTTTTACATGAGTGTGCTCTGTGACGCACACGGTGGGGAAAGAGAAGAAAAGCTGGGAAGTTTGTCTGCTCTTGAGATACGCTCAGTTTATTTAGGGAGAAGCTCGTACAGGTAAAGAAGGAAACATCCAGAGTGGCATATCCGTAAGACAAGCAAATGCTCCACCAGTGGCATGCAGAGGCCC